TTTTTTTTTCTCGAATCGTCTACTGACTGCAATAACACATTCATGCACCAAACTGGTTGTTCTGCCTCGTTTCGAACTCGCAGAGCACGCAAGACAGGTCACGGAGGGAAAAACCCATCCCTACCCTTGGTGTCGAAAACCCGGGGATACGTCATTTTCATCCCCNACTCGCAGAGCACGCAAGACAGGTCACGGAGGGAAAAACCCATCCCTACCCTTGGTGTCGAAAACCCGGGGATACGTCATTTCCATCACCGGGTGTCCTTCATTTTTTTTTTCTCGTATTTTTTCTTCATTCCTACTGTATTTTACGGGTGCCCACTGAATCTTGGGTCTTGAAACGCTTTGAAACGTACGAAATCAACCAATGATTAAAGTGGCCTTTAATACCCCCAGGGGTAATTTTCTCTCAAAATGGCGCTTGCAGCTCAGGTCTACGGCCCCAGCCTTACCTCGTCACTNTACACAACAGCAATACCTAGCGTACCCCTACCGACCCAACCAGTAGGGGCACACATGCCTTGTGCGGCTGGTGAGCTGTGCCAACTGCCAGACCAGACGCCAGTAGCCCCTCACGGCCACCAATGTCACGGAGGGTGTGGCGGCAGACTGCACGGACTGTGTGGGAAACAAGACCAAGATGCACATAGAAAGATGCGTCTCAATGATGTCTTTTTCACGAAAAGACACTTTTACCCGGTTCGCATCCAGACCAACCGGGTTTTGAACCGGACCGCTTTTTTGACCCGGTTGGGCCCGGTTCCACGCCCTCTGCAACTCAATTTTTTTTGCAACATTTTTGGTCGCAAAACCTCAGAAGTGAAAAATTATGGTCAAAAATGGGCGAAAAAATATACCAAAAATAGAGTTGAACCAGACCGGTCCGGTTACCCGGTTGGGTGGTCCGGTTTGCCCGGTTTGAAAAACGAGAGTGGAGGTCAAGCTTGGCTTCCAACCTCATTCCACGCACCAAGTCTACTAACGCTCACATTTTGTTTGGCACCTCTCGCGCGCTTGAAGAAAAAACACGAGGCTTGGAAGAGGAAGGCAGAGGGGTTGTGAGAGGAGGGGGGGGGGGGGGGGG